GAAGAGAGGACACATGTTGATGTAGAAGAGGGGACACATGTTGATGTAGAAGAGACATGAAGAAGAGGGGACACATGTTGATGTAGAAGAGACATAAAGAAGAGGGGACACATGTTGATGTAGAAGAGACATGAGGAAGAGGGGACACATGTTGATGTAGAAGAGGGGACACATGTTGATGTAGAAGAGACATGAAGAAGAGGGGACACATGTTGATGTAGAAGAGACATGAAGAAGAGGGGACACATGTTGATGTAGAAGAGACATGAAGAAGAGGGGACACATGTTGATGTAGAAGAGACATGAAGAAGAGGGGACACATGTTGATGTAGAAGAGACATGAAGAAGAGAGGACACATGTTGATGTAGAAGAGGGGACACATGTTGATGTAGAAGAGACATGAAGAAGAGGGGACACATGTTGATGTAGAAGAGACATGAAGAAGAGGGGACACATGTTGATGTAGAAGAGACATGAAGAAGAGGGGACACATGTTGATGTAGAAGAGACATGAAGAAGTTGGATTTGCAGAATAGGTGAACTTTAAATAAAGTATGTGAAAATATATATCCATGTTATTTTCTGATCTGATTCGGTGTAGAGTTCAATTGCTCAAAGTTGGACCTTCTTATAAAACTATCCCGGGACAAAAGGAGGAAGACGTATTTGACCCCTTACTCAGCCAATCACAGCTGCCTCCTTTAAGTCCTCTTGTCTGGATCAATGTCTTTAAAGAGAGTGAATAATATGTCTCTGGCACACACTTACGTTAAGCATGGACGCGTCTCTACGAAACTCCATCAGGTCCTCGCTCAGTTTACTCTGGTTCTCATCCAACACGTCTGAAACACACACACACACACACACTAAATATAACACAGCAAGGAGGCTAGTTCAACTTTCTCCAGTTAGTACTTCCTGTCAGTACACGTGTCCTAAAATTGGGTTTAAAGTGCCTGCAGATATTTGATATTGAGTAACATTTGAATGCAAGACTTCATATTTGCACGTATACGTGTAAAAAACAAAGTCCACATGGCCCGAGCTCCCAAGACATCAGCTCTGCTCTCTCACCAAACTTGAGCTCCAGGTTCTTCTCGAGCTGATCTAATTTCTCCGAGAGTTTCCCCAGCATGGAGCGCAGGAAGGCGATGTCCTGGTCCTTCTGAGCGAGGGTCAGCTGCATCTCGTGGAACCTGAGGGGTCAAAGGTCAAAGGTAGTCACTGATAGGTGAAGATACCTTATGTTTAGGGTTTCTAAGAATTCAATGCTGGATATCTAAACCCAGCTGTTCAGATGATAGTTTATTGATTCTTGAAGTTGAGTGACAGTTCATCTCCCCTCTGTGTCTCACCTGTCGTCCGTCTGCTGCAGGAACTCCTTCAGACCCTCGAACTTACAAACCTCCAGGTGAGTTTCATACGTGTCCTGGTTCCCGATGAACGTGCAACTGGCAGGGAGAAGAGAGGCAGATCATACTTTAATATACACATGTTTACATATTTATTGTAACGTGCACATTTTGTGTTTAATTTCCTATGTTTCTAGAAATATTTTAATTATTTTTCAATATGTTTGATCTTTTACTGCACATTTTTACATTTTTGTATTTTTATATATAACAATATTTTTTGTCTATTTGGTTTTATTTCATCTTTTATTGCACCTTTTTACTTCTCATGTTTATACAATGAAATAACAAAACCCAATTTCCCCCCGGATAAATAAATATCTAAAAAAATACCAAATAAATATCTAAGAAATACCCAATAAATATCCAATAAATATCTAAAAAATACCTAATAAATACCTGAAAAATAACCAATAGGTAATTTAAAAATACCCAATAAATACCTGAAAAATACCCAATAAATTAAAAAAAATCCTAAATATAAAAAAAGAAATAAAAAAAGAACTAAAATACCCAATAAATATCTAAGAAATACTCAATAAATACCTGAAAAATAACCAATAGGTAATTTAAAAATACCCAATAAATACCTGAAAAATACCGAATAAATATCTAAAAAATACCTAATAAATACCCAATAAATATCTAAAAAATACCCAATAAATATCTAAAAAATACCCAATAAATATCTAAAAAATACCCAATAAATATCTAAAAAATACCCAATAAATATCTAAAAAATACCCAATAAATACCTGAATATACCGGGATAAATAAAGTATGTAAATAAAGGAGTGGTAGACTAATAATAAACAGGTCAAGTCAATCCTGTGAAGTGTATAAGAAACGGAGATGTAGTGAAATGTTCCTTAGGGTGTGTTTAGAGACTCACCCGTACTTGGAGTGAGGACACTTGATGTGCTCACACTCTTTGAGGTGAGCCTCCAGGTTCATGGTGAGCAGGGGGGGGCAGGAGGGGTTGTTCGGGCATCGAACCGGCCTGTAGTCACAGCTGGCTTCATGCTCTCTGTGGAGAGGAGAGGAGGTATTTTACATTCCTTTGGTGTTTGGATTAGATCAAGTTGTATTAGTTGTGAAGTCTTGATTTAAAGTCACAGCCTGGCTATTTGTCAGTTTTATTTAGAAATGTTTTCCTTCCTGTGTCTGCCCTCCTGTGTCTGATTGTCTCAGGCCCAATTCCAAACCACACCTTACCCACTCCCACTCGTGTCAGATGGAGGGAGTAAATACAGCGGCAAGCTTTGGGACAAACTCCCCTCTCTCCGGCAGAAACAGGAAATGCCGTAACTGTATGTAACAACGGTTTCAAATCAGTTTTCAAATCAGCATCTCTTATGAATTAATAACTCAAATAATAATAACCCCCCTCCACACTCGTTGGTTTGGAACAGCACTGAATGTGGGTAGGGCGCAGGGGGCGGTTTGGAATTGGGCCATACTTTGTACCTCTTCTCCTTATCCTGCCTTTGGGTCCTGATCAAACCCCTCTCTTACTTGCGTGTGGTGAGTTTGATGGTGAAGGGGCATCCCAGCGGGTCCACCTCGAACACTCCTGGCTTCCCGGCCACGGTGGTGGTGGGGGGGGCCGCGGCGCCCCCTGCAGCGATGGCTGTGGCCCTGCAGCCGTATTTACAGTGAATGAACAGCTCTCCGATCTGCTCCGCCACCGCGATGTTGTTCACCACCACCGTTAGCTTAGCCGCGTCCACCGGGCACTTATCTGAGAGAGGGGGGGGGGGGGCAGCGAGAGGTTAGAACACAGAACAAACTACAGATTTAACTCCAGTTGTTATACAGCGGTGCAGGGATGTTGGAATAGGACCGAGGGGTTAGAGCAGGGGGGTCAAACTCAAATTCATCGCGGGCCACATCAGCATTAAGGTTGCACTCAAAGGGCCGGTTGTACATTTTAGACTATATAAATATTTAAATATATATATTAGGGCTGTCAAACGATTAAAAATTGTAATCAGATTAATCACAGCTTAAAAATTAATTAATCAGATTAACTACCATTCGAACTATGTCCAAAATATGCCATTTCTTTATATTGTTGTGGGAACGGAAAGATAAATGAAAGAAGGCGGATATATCCATTTAACATCCAGTATGTTTATTATAACATTGTTCTGTGAGTCAAAATGAAAGACAGCCCACACACCTATCAATCATCAAACCGTGGGGTCTTATTTCATTACGTGTTGATTTCTATCAACACTAATGTTGTATCGATGTATATAGAGATGTACTACAGCAAAAGTATTCTCCGTCAGGACTTCCTGCAACAACACCACGCCGTTATCTTGATTCTGATTGGCCAGAAGACATTATCAAAGATGTTCTATTGAGAAGACGATCACTACGTGACAAAATTGTTCAAAACCGTTTCTAGTCTTCGGTATTTCCAGACAAGTGGCTACTGAAATCAATCTTACTAACTGCTGTCTGTGTGATTTACTCCGCGAGTTGGCGGACTTTATTTTGCTTACTTTAACATCATTGTTCATGGTGGGGCTAAGATGGGGCTAAACCATTTCTTGGTATGGCTGTAGCCTACCCCAGCCATACCCTGGCGCTGCCACTGCCTGGAACCCAGAAGTCTGACGAGGATACGTTTATTCCTGCA